CCCCCCCCTTCCTTGTCTCTCTCTCTCTCTATCTCGGCAGCACGGCATGATAGAGCCCATAGCCAGGAGTCGAATACGGGCAGTAAGACCCATATAAGGTCTCCGAATCCAGTTTTGAACGACAAACGAAGACATATTTGGCAACGTCCGTTTGGGATAACATTCAAAGTTCTTTCAGTGCGTGTCTTTTCATTATGTCTGTTTCACATTGTTCTTAGCAAAACGTGGTCATGTAAAAACAATTTTAAAATTGGTATTTGTTTCATGGTGCTCGCAACTGCATAAAGTCATTTGAACGCGCGGGACGCATTTAACATTTTCAGTTGGTAGGAAATTAGGAATTAGCCCGGGTAGAGACCTAAGCCTACTCTTAATAATTTGGGATCACCACTGGATTTTTAACATAATGTGCAACATGCACACGGGACCTCCGAGATTTTTCGTCCTTTTCTGAGAATGTTAGGTGTTATATCTTACCTACCAGAGGGGTGTGGCTGAAAGACACCACTAAAAAAGCGGTCATTCTGCGCTTGATTTTTAGAACATGGTGACCACAGTAATCGATAACCAAAATAATTTTTATTGAATATATAAAAATAGAGCATCCGTGGCTAGATGTTCATATCTTTGTTTTTCAATTACTCCAGCAAAAGTGCTGCTGTTCTATTTATGGGATTCATGATGATACACAGACGTATATTATTTCAATAATAATATTGTTAGGATAGGCTGAGACTGGTCTATTTCAGTGGAATTGTACCCCGAAACACGAAACGGGAAAGTCGGAAAAAGGGGGGTTGGGGGGTGGGGGGGCTTTCTCACTTCAAAAGTAAAAAAAAATAGATAGATAGAGAGAGAGAGAGAGAGAGAGAGAGAGAGAGAGAGAGAGAGAGAGAGAGATGTAATAATACAAAAGTGAACTTTGAGAATTCTGTAAAAGAAAGAAAAGGGGCCGAGCTAACAAATCACAATGCCAAGTGCACTGATGGCGTAATGATGGTCGTAAATCAAATCTTCTGACAATCATAATATTATAAAATTAACGACACATGCATGGGAACTTGGCACCTTCACAAAGAAAATCTGAGGGCTTCTTAGAGCACTGATTGAACCGACATAATGTGGTATAGGTGTTATGCCATTCGTAGTCACATGCAGAAGACGCAAATTCAATTTTCGTGTTGGTATAAACAAAATAGGCTTATCTCGTTTTGTTTGTTTTTTCTAGTGATGTTGTATCCCACTCAGCCCGACAATAGCTCTGATAGGCAATGCCAAAGTCCGCCTTCAAAATTATTTAAATTTTTAAAAAGTTTTGTTTTTCAACTTTTCTATTCCGGCTGTCAGACCAAACAATTTACCTTGTTTTTAATTTTCCAATTTATATTCCAGCTTCAAACCAGTATAATGTACTAAACAGCTTTATGGCAAGCCACCAATCCCTCCCTTGCCCTTAAAAAGCCCATCTCCTTTTTTAAACTACTAGTTTTACGGCACTTTCAACAGAAAAAATATAAAAAAGGTCATAGAGGAGCCAAAGATTTAAGGTATTACTAGGGAGAAACATGTAGACATACAAGCAAACTAGGACCCCCCCCCCCCAGACAGTGCCACTGACTGTAGTGTCTTTAGGCGTTCCCAAAAGCGGGGGACATTTTTCGTTCAAGCACAGTAGAATTGTAAATGGGCTGATTCTTGTCACGCTCATAACTGTGCCTGATCTACAACAGGGAACTGCTGCTTTTTCTTTCCTAATCCTTACTATTGTCACTTTCTTCTACTTCTTTTGTATGTTTGTCACACTCTTGTGACCTGCTATTTCAGGGGTGCCTTGATAGTTGAAGCAGACCTTGTGTTGTTGAAGCTAGAGAGGTGAGCAGAGTAAGTCTGATTCCTTGTAAAGACTTCTCTGTTGACACCAGCCCCTTGGCACTCATATGACCTTATGCAGTTGCGAGCGCCGTAAAACTCTCTACTATAAAAAAAGTAGGAAAGGAGATAAAGACGATAGATGTGTGATAGGAACGTAAGTAAGAGCAAACCACACGAGAGCACTCGACAACCACCCACGGTCTATATCCAGACGTAGATGGTTTGTACCCGAGACCGCCAATGGTCCCCAAGTAGAACCTAATTAATGAGCGTCCAGAGTCTGAGTGGGGAAGAAAAAATGGTGGTCTATAAAAACAAACAACAACAACAAAAAAAGACAAAAAATAGAGCAAAACTAGGAACAACAAATAATTGAATTGAATTGAAACAAAAACCAGTTATAACAATTGGTGTCTACCGGAGTCGCAGCTGTTTCGTTGTCTCTTTTTGCGTCAGACAGCTTGTAGTTGGTTGATGCACGTACAGAAAAATGACCGGTGTTATCTTGTCGATGTGCTTCTCTTCACTCAAACCTGAGATCAAATACGACGGCTCGATTAAAGGAAGCAATTTCTATTTATGGTTTAGACAGATACAAAAGAGCAAGAATCTGGACTGATAAAAGAAGTAATCACGGCCTCTAA